CCACACACGCAGCGAAATATCGCTCGAAGCGCTCAAAAGCCATCCTCTCCCATTGTCTTGTCGCGTCGCGCTCAAACGAATAAATCCATATAAGCGTATTGTTCGCTAAAGCAATATTCGAACATAAACGCGTGTGTGCATATACGCATGCCGTACGTACGCACGATAATTAATCGGAGCAGTAAATCGAGAAAGGAAATATTTAAAACCTTTTCCGAGTCTACTCGGCTACTATAAATTATATTCACTTGATCCCTCGTTTATAATAGTATTTACGTGCGTATGCGGGTATGCGTGCATCGTTTATAACATCTAGGCACACGTGAAGGACAAGATACACAGCCGAGGAATTAAACTATTCTTCATGGCGCGAGGCTTTGATCGCATTATTAATTTTGCGAGAGAGACGACTGGCGTAAAACTGGCAACGGAAATGAGAGTAGTGCCCTTTGATGTCCTTCGGATTATTCGCCGTAATAAACTGAAACGCGTATACTCGAAGGGTTTTTAACAATTCAACTTTGGAGAAAAAGTCAGATGTACTGCAAAGCTCCTTTCACACGCGATGTATTGACCAACTTTTAACTGTACTACGGTTGCGGCTATTAAAGCAAGCATTACTTTTATCAAAAGAGCGTTTCAACCGAGTACCCCTGCAACGCAAATGAATATCAATCAAAGTCATTTGATCGCTGATTAGCCAACATGGATCGAGTTATGTGGCAGACTATTGAACCACTAAACTTCAAGAGTATCATTAATAAATAATTACGATTTATCCAGGAATTAATTACGTGTATGCAATATAATTCAAAATATAAGTAAATTAATTTCAAGGTCAATTCAAATTTCGTAAACATTTTCGGTACATTTTAAAATCGCGTGCAATGACTGCGAGGGTAAAATCTTATTTTGATTCAATTTAGTGTTAGATCAATGACACATAAGTGTGTATTAATATTATTGGAATATTTTGATTCATTTCTGACGGATTAATTATATCGGAAATCTCGCGCCGCAAAACCCCCACTGACTAGATTGGGTTTTTTTCTTCGCGTCTTTCCCTTCGAGTCCCTCTGAGCGTTTGTATACGTTTGCGTACAAGTTTGCTCGTATACACGCCACACATAATATAATATATACGAAGAGTTTCTGGATGAAGAGAGAAGTCTTGAAAAGGGTGGGGAAAGCAAAGTAGATTATAACATACGCATCTGTCGGTAATAAGTATACAGTGAGATTCTGTCGGGCTGCGTCGGTGGCGGCGGCGGAGGCGGCGGCGTCGGCCTGCTCCAAGCGTGAAAAATTCTGTTGCACACACATTTTATTTTTCGAGCCTCCACGTGTGTTTCTCCGCGCGCGCCGCAGCCGCTGCTCTCCCGAGCATTATACAGCACATATACTGCCTTACAGCTGCTCGAGGGAAATACGTCCTTATCGTTCTAGGAAAATCAGACGCACACACGCACACATCTACGTGCCCACTTGCACACACGCACTCGCAAGCATACGCACACTCACATTCTCTCGTATATAGTCAAACGCGGCTCTAAGCGGGGGATATACAGCCGGCGCATACCCGTATACCCATATACACATGTGTGTAAGCATCGTAACGCCTTGCTCCTCTTCCCTATATATACAGAGACGAAGTTGATTTTTGGAGAGATTCAGTGTGCTTCGAGACTTCGTCACGAGTAGACTTCGACTCCTTTTTTTTTTATACAATCCGCTCCGAAGCGATAGAGATTCCATAATCGCTCCCAATTACTTGCAATTATCGTTAGTTTTTCTTTGCGAATCGTCAACAACATGAGTGGTTTTAGTTTGAGGGCATTCGTCGCATTGGCTGTTCTGATGATCGTATGCGTGTCCATCGGCAGCGCAGGTGAGACATCCGATAATTAAGGTGCATTCGGCGCGAAATTTAACGCACTCGAGTCTCAAGGACGAGCCGAATTTCGCGTCTTGCCTCTCGTGCGAGTGTAAGTGCATTTTTAACGTTGTTTTGTGTATGTGTGTGTGTCTTATTGTTAAAGGGCCTGGAAAGCACTGGCACAGCGATACACGCTGCACGGGACCAGGAGGTTCGACCGGACACGCGAGAATCGGCCGCGGCCTGGGCAGGAACGGAGGCAAATGGTTCGGCAATAACGGTGGTTATCAGTCGACGAGCACCTACTATGTGTTCAACCCGAACTACGAGAACTGCGAGACCCGCTACGGAGAGCCCCCCAAGAATCCCAACTACTTCCAAACCATGAGCGAATGCCAGAGGGTTTGCCTCGACAGTGAGTTGAAAATTAGCGCAAAAATTCAAGTTGCGAGGGAGCACGCGATTATAAAAATATGTCAACCGTCCTGTCTTTTACAGTTTATCACGCTTAGAGCAGTAGATACGAGGTGCCTTTGAGGTGGAGTCGGCCATTTGGGGACCACATCAGCAAGTCCGAGGCCGAACGCACATTTATATTAAACCCGAGGAGAGATGCGGTATCCACGTGCATTACTGTGTACACAAACGGCGGCGCTTTACGTATCACCGATAACGATCTCGTCCAGCAGCGAATTTTACACGCGGCAAATAAGGCACTGCGTGTGTATAATAAAGCATACAAATGTGTGCGCATGTGCGTGGGTGAACGCGTGTGCGTATTTTATATATATAATATTGAGATGTTTGACATTTTATTCAAGGCAAACGCGCTGATTTTATATACATAGAGATATACATTCGCGTGTGTTGCAACGGCTTTTTCTTTCACTCACAATTTTAATGATTTTTATAATATGCGCGAGTGCAGCTGTCGACCGGTTGACTTTTCTCCGTTCTCTCATGCTCGTGCGCGCACACGACAACGACGACGATGATTGGAATTGAGCAGCCGACGAGCATTATATGCAGTCTGACACGTGTATGTACGATTGAAGTTGTATGCGTAAATGTGAATGCGTGTATGTATGTATGTATGTATGCAAGCATTTTCGAGAGGATAGCTTACGCATCGCAAAAATATCAGTTTTAACAATGCAATTTTAATCGACTAGATTTAACGTATTTTTTTACACTTTTATTTTATTGTAACGACATGAATTTTTTACTCGATTATTTTTTCATAATAATGAAAACGATTTTTTTTAACAACATTCCTGCGTACTAATTATTTTATCCAACTTCCCCGAATCTATGCGCACGAAACTTCAATGGGCATTTACGAGAGCGAAAGTTAAAATATTCTTGGCTGCAGGCGTCGATGATCCGGCGCACGTACGTATATAAACTACGTATAATGAAAAATCACTTGGTTCAAATGGTTCACAAACCTTTTCACTCGAAGCGATCGATAAACGCCTCCAAAATTAGTCTTCGATTACTCCCACTCCCTCTCTCTCTTTATATTCCTTTTTTCCTCCTTTCTTTCTCTCGATGAAAAGTGAAGTTTTACGAATTCACTGCAGGCGCATCGATCTGATTACAACATTTTTAGGCGTATATATATACGTATCACAGAGACGCGCAGCGAGAGACGACGCACAGTGTATATAATTCGTGAAAAGCCAGGCGGGCACTCGAGACAAGCCACTACTGGCACGGCGGCTACGCGCCGCGACGTTGAAAACTGCGTACCGTCTGGCGTGTCGAAATATAGGTGGCTTGCCTCTGCGCCGCTGCACTCTCTGCGACCGAATCTCCGTCGACGAGAATAAACGCGCCGGACTACGATATACCCTACCACTTTTACGCGCCTTTATAGCGACAGTTGCACACATGCACATATTAACATATATATAGAGAGAGAGAGACAAGAGTATACAGATATACTCGTGCACACATGGGCAAACGAATGCAACCAAGTTGTGACACCTTATGCGCTCGCAGCCAAAGCCTATGTGCTGTAGCAGCAGCAGTAGCGGCGAGCGCGGAGAGTCATTTCCGCTCTTTTCTCGGAATGCCAGTTTATATATTAGAAAGAAAGGCAAAAAATCGCTAATATACTTTACGCGCGCGAGGAGCTTCGTTTTGAGCACAGACCGAAAGTTTATGTCATTATATTCGCTGCACGATGTGACCACGAGCAATTCTCGTCTTCTTTTTTGCTCGGCTGTACTGCTAATCATTCGAAGATGTTAATAACAATGACAAATATTGCGCGTGCCTCACGCAGAAATTCTTCATTTTTTTTTCTCCATCTTGGTTCGCGCGCAATATACGTTTCAACGAGCAAAAGAGCTAGAGGATTTTTTGTTAGAAAAGTCGTAAAAAAATATTAAAAATAGCGAGGTGCGAGCGCAAAGGCGCTTTATGCTTTTCCTTGAAATTCTATAAAGGCCCGCGATTCAAAAGCTTCGCTTATAAGCGATTTTTCAACAAGACGCGGAGAATTAAAACAGCGGAATGTATATCGTAAAACTACCCGAGAGAATGAGCCGCGTAAATAAAGACATTGGCTTTTTCGCTCGTAGTAATCTTTAACGCGCTTTCGGTCCTGGAATCCGTATGCATATGCGCAAACGCAAAGTGAAAAATCGTCCGACGATAATTGCCGTTAAAAAGTGAAGAAGAAGAAGCGCACACCGAGTGACATACTTTTTCTTCAAGTACGCAACGAATCAGGCAAAAAAAAAAGCCAACATATCGCGGCGTCGGGAAAAAAAGAGGCGACAACACCGAGCCGTAATGCGCTAGCTCATCAATTATGAGTCTCTTGTCAACGTAGTACTACTGGCGTTCCGTTTAAAAAATTCAAAGCATTATCGAATTTTTGCCGAAGAAAATGGCAATTAATTAAACGAGGCGTGCATGCGAGTAAGGTCGCCGGTTAGTCGCCGCGCGTGTATATATCTTTCTTGCGCTAAATAATAGAGCCGTTCGTCACGCAGGCGTTGAAGCTCAATTAATTAGCTTATTGCATAAACGAGCTTGGATTTTCTCGTAATTATATATGTTACGATGCACTGCAGGCTTCTCCGGTCTGGTATAATGATATAATGGCACTTACCGTCGTCGCTGAGCTCGAGATTGGTGTAGCTGTCCCAGTGCAGTATGGGATCGTGATGGGCCGATGCGTGGGGTACGGCGGGGGTCGGCGCCGGCACCGGCCCGTCGAGGCGACGCGCGTCGTTGGCGAAGTACAGGGTGACCACACTGTCGGGTGGGCATCTGGAGTCGCTGCAGGCAACGTCGAGTTCCGAGCGGGGAAACGACACGACGTTCTCCGTGATTACGCACGTGTGGAACTGTCAATAAATATTTTCATTATAAATAAATAACGTTATAGAGACTTTGAAAAAAGCTCGCTGTTTGTCGGTCGTACCTGCAGGGAAAACATGACCTCGCGACCTTGACTCGAGTAGATTCGATGATAGCACTTGACGAGGATGTCTCCGCGCAGCCTCAGCCCGCCCAAATTAACGGTAAACTCTTGGGCGTTGGTCACGGAGTAGAGATCGGACGTGAAGACCGGCGTGAGGCCCTCGTAGACCTTGAAGAAGGCCCGGCAGCCGGTGGGCTCGAACAGCGGCACCCCGAGAACGGTGAGATGCGTCAGGTAGAGCGGCGTCGAGCTGATGCGCAACGAGCCGGCGAGCAGACCTCCAAAGTACTCGATGTATCTGTGTGTATGAAAAAACAACATCGTCACGCCTTGTGTTTATAAATCTCAAAGAGAGGCCAATGACTTTTTAATTTGCTTCACAAAATGACGCATGATAAATCAGAAAATGATAAGGCTTTTTCACGCCAGCCGTTGCAGAGTTACATACGAGCGGCACGCGCGCGTGACAGTAATTTCAAGTGGAGCCGGAATAAATCAAGAAAATTAATCATGGAGCAAAGAGCCCCACGAGTGCTCGCGGGGACGAAAAAAGCTAGCCATTAACGACTAAATTACATACCGCAAGAGATATTGTAGCTAAAGATCTGGCCGTGCGATTTATATGCAGGTACGAAGGTATAACGATGAATTGCGCTTACCGAATCTTTTCAAAATCGGCCACGAACGAGGCTCGAATAATTTTCAAAATATGAAAAACAACGGGCACATACAAACGAGCGGACAACATACGCACACACACACAGAACGCGCACACTCGATCGGTTTTCCCTTTCGCTGCTTTGGGGAAAACGAGCTCTTATTATGCCGCGGCAGGCATAGGCAAGCAGCACAGTACGTCGTGTATTCCAAATTACTGGTTCTGCGCGCCGCGATCATGGAAGAAAAGTGCAGCGCTCGGCGCGAGTTAAAAGCCTATTGGCCTTTATGCGCGTCGTTGCGCATATACACGTACGCGTGCGTGTCGCCAGCGGCTCGCCATAAAAGGTTCAAGCGAAAAAGCTAGTTTTGTCCGAGACCGAGAAAGAGAGAGAGAGAGAGAACGACGCGTACATATATCTGTGTGTTTGTGCAGTTTTGCTTCTCTCCTTTTAAATAGGGATGAGCGTGGGAAGCTGATTATACGGGCAGGCTCGGCAGTTCGCGTAAATTGCGCTCCTCGCGATACGCGTATAAGCGAGTAAAGCAGCGCAGAGCTCGGCAGTCGCTTTAATCCGTTTGATTTTTCATCGCGCGAGATGTGCAAAAATAAAAACTCGTCTCTGGAGCTCGTATACACACGCGTAAGTGAGCACAATGACAATATGTCCAGAGTATGGGATAATAGTTTAATAAGCTCAATCAGTGCAGCTCGCTCTTGGTATATAAGACCAGTTCGATCTCACGCAACTCACTCGGCGCAGCGGATAAATACATAACAATGAGCGAAATTAAATGATGACGGCGCGGTATAATGCTTTACAGCAGGCTATGCTACGTACCTTCTATGGGAGGGCACAGCGAGTGGGCCGATTTTGTCGTCGAGAAATCTGCGCATGGCGAACCTGTCGAGCGCCTGATCTCTGCCTCCGCAGATGCTGCTGTAGTTCATGTACGCCGATACGGCGACACCCAATCGCTCCTTGCTGCCTCTGTGGACGACAATCCGAAACATTATTATCGTTATTACGAGTTCTGCACATAGGCCCCGAGGGAATTGTTCCATCGGAATCGTGTATTTTTCAAGTAATTTATATTGAAAGAAAGAGTCGCTACCTGGCGTGGAGAACGACGACGCGATTGTTGGCGGCGTTGAGCCAGGAGTCCAGCTCCTTGCACAGCGAGCAGAGCCTCTCGAGACTCGGCGCCAGTCCTTGAGGCCAGCCCGCCTCGCGCGTGTTCGCTTCTCCGGGTCTGCCTGGTGACGACAGGTTGAAGATCTGCTCGGGGCCCCGATAGAGACGTCAACGACAAAAAACAAACAAACGAAACATCGAGTCATTAGAGACGTTGAGCGAGTTCGTTTCGTTTCTCTCCGTCTTTTTTGCGCCGCTCGTATGTAATAAAACTTACCATGTAATTATCGGCGTGTTTGGCTCTGAGTAAGGAGGTGGCATGCTCGAGGACTCCTCGGGCGTCCTCGCGATACCACAGCGCTATTATTCGCTCGGTTACGTAACACAGCTCCATGACTTCGCTGACGCGTCCACCAGCACCCGAACCGGCGGAGGAGGCAGCGCCAGAACCGGCGGTAACGGCACCGTTGCACTTGGTCGTTGCTTTCGTTTTCGCGCCATCGCTTACTTCGCTTCCCACGGGCAAACTCGTCGGATTCGTCGGTGTCGCGGGCGTCGTTGTCACGCTCGGCGTTGGAGTTGGCGTCACGTGCTGCTGCTGCTGCTTCACGCCACCGTTGGGTATTATCGAGGCGCCGCTCGACGAGTCCGCACCCACGCCCGGCGTTCTTTGGTGGGCGCGGGACGTCGTTGACGGCGACGCGGCTCTTTTCGCTGAACTCGACGGTGTCTATAAACAAACCAAAATGGACCCAAAATTATTCCCACGATGTACTTGAAAAACAACACACGAGTACAGGCTTTTGTCTGAGAGCTTTATGGTATAAGTAGCGCAATCCAAACCTCGGTGCTGTAGGTCGGCTCGTAAACGATTCGGATGATAAACTTTTTACGCGCCATTTCCTCGCTAGCACTAATATCACGGCAGCACTACGAGACATGTTATCGATCGACGCTCGGCAAGAGGAAAAGTCGCCCATCTACGCGCGTCGTATGTGTACAAGCTACGAGCTGACCGCCACCCGCGCGTACATAACAATGTAGATCGCGGTAGTTCGCGGCGTTCCACATGACGTCGAATCAACGACTAAAGGCTCGGCGGCGATGATTTTTTCCCGACGTTTCCGTAACGCCCCCGCCTTCGGAGCCTGATCTATTTTGCGCTACTATAATACAGCACTTGAGATTTCGCGCGCGCTGCCTGCATACAGCAGCATACGCGTTACAAGGAGAGGGAGTATATCAAGAGCATAATGCACGACAGCTCGAGACTCTTGGAAACTATAAAGTGCAGTACTGCGCTAAGTATGCTTACGTAAAGGTCGCGGTTTTTCGTGATACATTTTCTTGTGCTGCACGTATGTGAGCCATGGCACGAGCATTACGCAATTCCTTGGCGCGATTAAAGCTATACTGCTGCTACTGCTTGAAAGCTCAGCGCTGCACTTTTATGACTCACTGCAGCTCAAGGCACGGAAAATATTAATATTGCCGGCAATTAAACGAATTATCCCGCGGGATGCGCGCCAATCATCGGCTTTTCATGTACACACTACTGCATGCATTAAAAAGCGTGACTGCGCTCGATCTAGATACAAAATTTGCTTAACCTCCATCGAAAAAAAAAACACATACGCACAAAGTGTTTGCGCGCCCGTACTTATGTAGAATGGTACACAGATGGAACTCGCGCGAGTTGTGTATAAATGAATGAAAAATGATATTCTCACCGCGAGGAATGCACTACGCGCAGTATGTACGCGCAGTGTGTATGTGCAGCAACAACAGACGCGCAGAGGTATATATACAAGACAAAATAAGCACAGACTTGTTTATGTCGGTGTACGATGCACATCGCGCACGCACACGATGTGCGTGTTATATGCGTACCCTCGTTTCATCGCTCACAGAAATAAACCCTCTCGCGCGTGGCCGTATGCGCGCGAGCGACGACGAGGTAAGAGAAGGCGCGAGCGACAAAAACCTGCAAGAATAGCTGTAATCTCAATAATCGTATCAAGGTTGCAGCTCCCCCCGTGCCGCGTGCCTCGCGTCAAAGTATCTCAATGTACATACACAATCGACTCTACGATGGGTCAGGGAATAAAAAGTCCGCCAACGCGTGATACACATTGTTGCGCGCGAAAAAGACCTTGAAGTTCGAGCTCGTCCATTATCGCTCGTCGCCGATTAATTATCTAATCTGCGTTAAAAGCTGCTCTCTTCGATCGGCAATTTGTCAGCGATTTTTTCGAATTATGTAAATCCACTCCACGCGGAGAGATGCAACATACGTATATTTCATTTAGTTTGTTTGAAAAGTTTCCGACACGAGCGCGCGTATATATGTGTATGCGTATACGCTATCTTGTCTCGAGAAGCTTACAACTATGAGTTTTCGAGCGCTACAAGCCAGACGAGCCAGACAGGCTTAACGAACGAACGAAAATTTCACGTTAAAAGCCGAGTAATTAGTAAGGCCGGAAAAATTGAAACGTTACAAGTACTTTTCAAACTTGGTAAATATATTTATAAAAAAAAAGGAACAGCCAAAAAATGTAAATGTCGAGTACTTGATACACAGAGAGCTTGTTAATTTAAATCGTGAACTTCGATGCAAATTACGTTTAATTTATCACTCGGTGCGTGTCTCGAAAACAGCAGAAAGAAAAAAAGAATAATAATAATAATAAACTTTAACGACCTATACGCGAGCGGCGTGCATGCGCTGTGTATACTATACGGCAAACAGACTATATATATACACGCGGTGTGCCATTATGGCAATGATAAAAAATGTTTGGCCGGGTAAAAACATCGTCGGATTGCGATTTGCACATTTGCGCACACACGCGTATACACACACGCGCGCGCACGAGGTTTGCTCTACTTATTCGCGCGTACATAAAGCTTGGCATAAAACAATAAACTATAAGCCATGCTAATGTTAAAAAAAATAAAAAGAAATAAATCAATGAGCTTTACGCGCAGCAGTTTACCGAGAAAAAAACTAGTTTCGTTATCGGCCTTTTTACCATAAGTCAGAGCGCACCTGCTGCTGATCTTTAATAAACAATTTTTTTTTCGCCTTCCGAGTAAAACAACAATCGTGATTCCGTGCGCGAGTGTGTGCTTTTACGGCGGTGCGGATTAAAGCTCGCTCGCTCGAGTTGGCTCAAAGTTCAGACGCGGCGCGCAAACAAGCGGGCGACGATCTTCGCGCAGACGAATGAGCAAACGGGCCGAGAGGATGATTTTGATTACGTGGATGATAGTCGTTACGCGGAGAGCGCTACGAACTTTGCTCATTTTCATAATGAAAAAGCAGCGCAGCAGCATACGATACTAACCTGTTGTTTATTCCTGCCAAGCGTGGCGGCGTTCTTTGCCTGCGACTCGTAGCTTCCATTGTGCTGCAACAAACCAAGGACGAGGAAACATTTTATTCCAATTGCGATCGGTTGTCATTTCTCGATTGTAATGCAATGCGTGAATCTTTGTATATATAATACGTGCAGTATGTATGTATGTAATGTATGTAATGTATGTGCTCGAGGCAGCCGCTGAGACAAGGGACTTCACCTCGATATGAAGCGCCGTGTGCCAAACGGTAAAAGCAATTCTGTGTAGCAGAGTCTGCGTGTCGCCGCCTCCTATCGGCCTCTGTAATGCGCTATCCTGCTGCTGCTTATTATTATTATTATTATTATTATTATTGACGCAGTCAACGTCTACGTCGCCCCGAACGTAGTTGCCGTTCGCGTAATCGCGCGCCGCCGCCGCCTCCACCACAGCCCGGCTTCTGTCCCGGACGACGACTGCTCTCGACTGTTTTTTCCCTAAACTGCACGTACAACGCAGCTCTGCTGCCATGGCGTGTGTGTGTATAATGTACGTGAGGGCTCTCTGTCTTTCTCTCTCACTCGTTCCGTTGCAGCGGCTCGTCGATTTATCTGCGCGACTCGGAGCGACTTTTTTTCCCCTTTAACGGAGCCAAAGCAAGGTAAAATCGAGAAAGTCCTCGAGTCTCGCTGGGTTTCACGCGCTCGCGCGTCTTGTTTTACAAAGTTCGCGCGCTTGTACCTTATCAATCTCTTTTAAGCCGCGCGCGTGCACGCTCTCTACCTATATACACGCAGTCTCTCGCTTGCTATAACAGTCGCGCGGCAACTCGTTCCGATTTATGTTCACTTTATGTACGCATCGATTGATTCGACTCGATATATACAAAGTTTCACGAGTACGAGCTACCGTGTCGCGCCTTTTCTACATGTACACAGGATCGGTTTTTTTTTTAAGCAGCCGAAGATTGATTTTCAACTTTGTTGATTGTTTAATTTTCAACTTGCGTGGCTGGCTCGGTTACTTCGGATAAACTTATAATTGTCCGATCAAAGCTCCCTTTGTTATAGGCCCCACGCAGCAAGTTCCACTGTACGAGCTAGACGACTGCACGCACTCGATACGCGACGAGGCACATGACTGCACTGCAACATTTTGGGGCTACCACTACGCCCTCGAAAAACTGCATCGGCTAGCCGACTGCGAGGAGCGATCCTGCGCGCCGGCGCCGGCCGGATCGAAATGCAGCATCTTCCCTATATATATGTGTGCTTCCTATACTGCAGCTCCTACTACCACTATAACTTCTGACTCGCTATATACATGTATTATTTGGCAAGCGAAAAAGCTATCTCGTGCTCGCGATTTATGAGCTTCTGGCTCCGGCGCGCTCTACGTATCGTACGCCACGTACGAGAAATCAAGAAAAATCGATGCAACGAGAATCGGCCTAAAAATGCTGTTACGACTAAAAGCATTGACCACCCGCCGCCGCCGCCGCCGCTGATGCAATTTCGCCGGGCGCGCTATCGAAGCGCTAACGCGATGCGAGAACGAGAGCTCCAGTTGGAAACTTAATTTTCTCATGAGCGAGTACTGTATCGCACGCGGAAACTACACAGAGTTCCGACTAGGAGTGCTAATTCATTTATTAAGTACACCCCGGCCCTCTAGGACATCGGACAAAGTTTAAAATCGTTAGCCGTACGGGCAGTTGCATCTCTCGAGGATATTGATGGTACGCTCAGGTGCTTTCGAGTCTCCGCGCGCTCTACAACGAAACTTCGGAAATTTACTACATTTCGGAAGAGGATTTTTTTTTTATGATTTTATCTAAATTGGTTCTAAAACTGAAAAGGAAATATTTCCAGGAAAAAAGTGGGTAAATCTTGAGACAGGATGAGGAAGGTTCCAAATTTAGCCGAGGATAAATTTCGACGATAAGCACTAGTCTCGAAGCTCGAACTATAAAGATGAGCTTGAAACAGTGTTTTCTCGTAGATAGACCACTTTAACCTGAATGAATGACAGACAGACGTATTGATTCATCAACGTCAAGTTTCAACCATTGGAGAGCCTTTTTATATCTTACTTATAAAATCGATACCTAAATCTTAGTATTTTATCTGCATTGAATTTTTCTACCTTAAAAAGCTCATTTTCCAAAAAAATGACGTTTCCTATTGTCATCAACTACTAAAACAATTGATTTGCATATTTTGATTCCACCATTAATTATAGACTTGTTGAATTTTCAGCTATCAGCTCGTACAACGATAGCGAATATTGCTTTTTTGGCAAACGCCCAAAACGTCATTACACGATATAAATAATAGGGTCAATGTGTGTGTGTGTGTGTGTATGTAACATCTATGACGCGCAGAAAGAGAAAAGAGCGAGTGAGAGATTATATTTAGCCAAACGATAAAACGAACAATGCCCGCTCATATTTTCAGTGCTTTTGATTCTTGCAATTTTTTTCTTTTTTTTTTCAGAGAACGATTTAGTTTTTTAGTGCCCATTGGCGCCTAGCGCCATCTCGCGGAAGAGCTCGGAAGCTACTGCTGCTGCTCCTCCTCCTCCCGACGTGATTTAAAGCTGGCAATTTTCATAATTAAGATTACCGTCTCCACCTGTTGGGATTATGAGCCTTGAAGAATAAGAAGAAAAAAAGTCTATCTAATGAATCGAGCGATATATCACAGCTCGACCTTTTATTATATTACACGTATATGAGGCTTGATTCGCGCGAGCGATAATGACCCGTTGCCTGCCGAGTTACAATGGCACGTTTAAATACAGTAGCGTTTGTCCACGTGCATTATACATGTATGTGTGTATCATGTGAATGCGCTGCCCCTGCTGCTGCTGTACTTCAACGGGTCGCGGCCTTGACTCGAGGCACACAACACACGTTATTATTGTACATTACAAAGCGAATGTGTCAGAATGCAATATTTTAGTCCTTATCGTCGTTGTTAAGGTGATCCGGCTAATTTTTACTGCGACATTTTTTTTTTTTGATGATTAAGAAAACAAGCCGAGCCCAACAACCGAGTACGACACGTACGTAACTAAAAACAACGACGAGATCCTTTTAATTCCTGCTTTGCCGTTATTTATATAGTATCGTCGAGAGACAGACGGAGAGAGAGAGAGAAATAAAAAAATCGCAGCGCGCGAGCATTGCTCTCGCACACGTCTCCGATTTCACGGGCGTCAATTAGTCATATATTTCTCTACTGCCAATACGGACTTTGCACATTTGCGCGCGTGTATGTATCGCAAGGCCGTTCCCGCGCGCGCGAGAGGATGAAAAAAAAGCCATGCGCAGAATCCTATAAGTTTTTAATTGCAGGCCATAATTTATCACGCAGCAGCAGCCGGCAACCTATATTTATGCAATAAAAATTTTGGACTAGTCGCCAAGAGTCGTAGAGTACTGCGCGCAGCTTTAATTATCCGCGTAATTTAAATACATTTTCTCGTTTAGTAGCGGTAATAGTTTCATAACTCTTGGCTTTTACAGTCTTCAAACTCGCACGTGTGAGTGTGTATGCGCGCTATGGATATGCGTAATGTACGCAAACCAAATCCTATGGACTCGAGTAATTATGAAATCACGTTTCGAAATGCAGTGATTATTTGAACAGGTGCTCGACGATACTTGTACATACATTTGTATATAAATATAAATATCTTTCAATTTTCAGCGCAATAATACGTCGGTAAAAAGTTTCGCTATTTTTCTTCGTTCCTGAAAACGGTACTACGCTGAGAAATCGGAGCGAATTTCGAACTGCACTTGGCGAACTTGCAGAAGCAATCGGAAACTGTACCCTACGTGAGTGTTTTATACGTCGCCCAGCTGATTACAATCGATATATACGTATATATAGCTGAGAAACCTTTACTCTTTCTCTCTTGACTCTTGCGAGTCAGATAAGGGCGGACAGTTTCGCCTCGAAAAGAGAGAGAGAGAGAGAGAGAGAAAGAGAAGGAGACTTTTATATGTGTGTCGCGTCGCATAGAAAGTACACAGGGCACGCCTGTATACACATATAAACCGACACAAACACAGCACAGACACCAGAAGTGAAAAAATTGTAAGTGCAGAGCTGACGACGATAGGTACAGCCGATATACGTCCGTTTGACTTTTCCTTTGTTGAAACGATCCTCCTCTCCTTCCCTCGCGGTTGACTCGGAATTACAATTATTTTTATCGGAGAAAAATTCGACGCTCTAACAATGTGGAACAGGATCGCGCCGCGCTCGGGAAAAATATTCGCGCGTCAGCTGCTGGCTTACTTTCGGCTTATATTATTGCGACTGCCCATCGATTTTCCGTAATGTTTACTGCTGACTCTTGCGCGAGATGATTATTATTATATCGAGTGCATACATGAATGGACGGTGTATGTGTGTGTAGTTCGCGCAAGGATCAAATGGAGCAGATCCGAGGACAAACACCTTCGATATGCGTCGCCGAGCGCATCAGTGCAGCTATATATAGTATATGACTAGTGGTACAGTTTCTAATCTATAGCGTGAATGCTGCACCTCGAGATGGGAAAGAAAATTGGTTATTACTCTCGGAGCTCTTGTATGCCTTCCGGGGTGGAGAAGATTTTCTCTTTCTCTCGACACCTCGAATTTTAGCCTCGAGACAAGTGTACGTTACGAACACGATCAGATTACTACTCGAATCTTATCCAAAATTAAACTCTACGCCGCCCACGCTCGCTCGTAATAATGATAACAACAACAATTCGGTTATAGGGACTAAGCAGGAGCATACGGCGGCGGCGAGTTTATACATATTGTCCAAAGTTTTTCTTTGTTCTCGCGAAAGCGCACACAACGCGTGTATACGCGTCCCGAACAGTGGCTCGACTTGTTTTCGTCCTTATAGCTCTTCCTGCTTTTGCCCGTTCTCTCGCAGCCGCAGCTCTCTCGCGAGCTTAGGTGAATCCTTATCCCCAGTTATTCTCTTAACACAATGTGCATAATATGCATATACAGTTGCAGAAATGGCTAGACAAAGGACACACACGAGTGCGCGGCAAAAG